CTGCTACTACCACCACTACCACTACACTGCCACTACCACTACCACTACTACCACTACCACGACTACCACCACCACCACCACCAGCCACCACCACCACCAGCCACCACCAGCACCACCACGACCAGGGGCAGGAGGAGCAGGAGCACCAGAAAGCATGAGAGTAAGAGTGAGAGTATGACAGCGACAACAATACTGCCAGCAACAGCACGAGCGAGAGTGCCCTGCATGATTGGGCGGACTCCTGGCAGAGGAAGCTCAGCGCTGAGCCAGGACCGGTGGATCGGGCCGCCAGGCGAAGTCTCTGCCTGGGAGGCTCTGCACATGTCTAGGCCTCGCTAGGCTGTTGCTGACGCTTCTGCGCCTACATGGCTTCGCTTGGATGGTTTGGGGAGCCAATCATGTTGAGAGTTTGCTAAGTGCACATAGTGGCAATTCCTGCGGCCATCAGTTCGTGCTTTCAGCCTTCAATCCATCGGGAGCTAAGCAGACATGGCAAGCTTGTGAAGGAGCACAAGCATGGATCCAAGGCGCAAGTACTCGAAAGTTGACGTGGGCATGTCGTAGTTCAACAGGAACTTCACCTGTGCTCGTCCGCTTGATGCGGATGACTCGTGAGCAGAGTATGCCACGCCTTGGGAAACTGGAAGCCGCGGCCAAGCATCGTGGTGGCCTCATTTTCGGGCTTCTTTGCGTTCATGATGCGGGACGTGGGTGAATCTGTTCTGCTGAGCGCTGCTTCCTCTTGTTTTGCGTCGCAGGCAGAAGATCCAGCTGCAGAGGACGGCTGTTTACCGAGGCTACTGTAGCTAGATATTTGGAAAACGCTACATGTTGGTGACCACGCAGATCTCCCGATCATTGCAGGGATCTGACGAAAACAGTGGACATTCAAGCGGCTCCTGCTGGCGATCCAGCTGCACCATTAGGGGCAGGCGCAACCGTGTTATGTGCGCATCTCCGGAGGTGAACCCTTCCAAGCCATGGGAGCCGGCGATAGACCTCCTGGACCTCGGCACGTTATTGGCTGCTCCCAGTCACGGAGTTACACCGGACATACACGAGGAGCGGACCGTCCTTTGCTGACTGCTCTGGTGGCTGAGATGTGTCGGCGTCTGGAGGGTGACGCTTTTGCTGCTGGGTCGTCGCACGCAGCTCCTGTCAAAAATCTTCAGCAAGATCAGCTTCCCCAAAATATCGCACCCGCATAGGCTCCTGGAGGACAGCCACATGGCGCTTCTCCGCCTCATGCTCTGCTCAGCTGAGGTGCATCTGGGTTAGACCATGATCTGCTTTCAAGGACAAGCGGCGCTCTCGCGCACGGCGCCGATTTCACTCACAACCTTGGACTGGGAGCTCTCGAGCTTTGCGAGACCTCAGCTGCTCAGCGCTCTCCAAGGCCCAGATGCGGGGCGCGAAAGGCTCATCAAGGCAACTTCTGCACGGCGGCGCTGCTCCAGAACTTCTGCTTTAGCGGCCATCGCTTTGATGCCTTAAAAGCTCAGCAAATGTCGTGAATGCGAGTGAGAAACTGCGAAAACAGCCATGCAAGTGTCGACAGGGTCCTCATGCCAGAAGGAACGCACGTCAACACAGCCACAGCATTGCTCCCTGTCACCCCTTTCCACCTCTCAGCTGTTTCACTTCAACAGCTGCCCGAGAGAAAGCTCACGAAAGCTACTGTAGCTCCCTGTGCTGCCCGGGGACGCTCCTGCGCGGCTTCGAGCTGCGAAGGGGCCGCCGGAGCCATTAAAGGCGTTTTGGGGGTGGCTGGAGGTATGGCCGGTGGCCTTTCCTGTGGTGGCACTTCTCCGACTTCCAAGCCATCGAGGCGAAGGCTCAGGCTCTCCAGATTTTCCTCCGGTGCAGCTTGCAGAAGCTGGCATGCGCCAACGTCTCTTTGCGGCAGAGCAGCGGAAAGTCTGTTCATTTCCTCCCTCACCTTGCTTGAGGATTCTCTTTCTGCCTGGCACATGCAAACCACCCCGATCTCATATACGTGAACCACGAGAGTGACCTTGCACATGCAGACAACACAGCCACACAAGTTTGAGTTAGCTCTGCATGCATCTGCTTGTCAACGGATGGCGGGATTGCCTCCAATGCCTCAACCCGTGCGCTGAGCCGCAGCAGGAGGGCTGCATCTCCGGAGGCCACTGCTTTCTTGTCCTGGAAGCCACCCTGAAAATCCCTGAGCGCTCCACCTTCGCAACCTCCCAGACCGTCCCTGTCGCCCTCCTCTTCTTGGAAGTTCGAGTCCGCGGGCAGCCGCACGTCTTCCGGAGGGGCACTTTGGCCCAGAGCCTTTCGTGAGCTCCCCATGCGGTCCCTCTCCCAAACAACACCCCAGGCACAGCCCTCTCTGTATCTCTCTGTCTTTCTGGGCGAGTTCCTGCCGCTCCATGTTGCATAAGCAGAAGCTGGCCTCGGATGCCTCGGCTTCGTCTGCCTTCGACTTCATCCTGCGGAATTTTACCTTTTGTGCCTTCGGCAAGAAGTACCACCTAAGCTTGTGAACACGATTGCCCGCACACTCATGTAGCATCCAGACCAAGACACTCCAGCCAGGATCGACGCCGTTTGACGTCGAAGAATGCCAGGAGGTCCTTCACGTGCACCGTCTGGCCAATGGCCATCAGATTTGCAAACTGACCTTGCTCGATCTCAAAGCGTACTTCTTTAATCTTTCTCGCACTGCCACCTGTCTCTCCTTTCAATAACGCTGTCAACGGACAAGACATAAGTTTCGTCTTCCAAACCATGTTCGTTCAAAGTCTCATATTGCTTCTTCCAGGCAACTGCAGTGCATCCCGGCTTTCGGTTTCTGATCCGCATCGCGCTCGCAGTGAAAGTGGCCTTCGTCAGCCATCTCCCTGCAATGTTATTCCAGGGCCAGTTCACACATGCACCGTGGAGCAGCTTTGGCCGAAGTCCAGAAACAAGCGCCTGAGCATCTCGTACACGTGGTCTCCGAAGCTGTCCTCGGCTTGCACCGCTCTGATGCGACAGGCAAACCAAGAGCCTTGCGACTTTTGTGATTCGAGCAGGAGATGTCAACGTCCCTGTTGGGTGGGACAACTGAGCCTGCGTCGCTGATTCTGTCCAGTGAAGAACTGTGCTTAGCAGTTGTGCAAGCAACGATCTTGCGCAGCTCTTCTTTCAGCCTTTCTTCCTCGATGCCTGCCACAGCAGATGACATGTCTATACACTTGTATGCATCCCTGTCCGAGCCACTGAGCCTGAGCTTTCTGGGCTCCGAAGTGCCGCAAGGGCCAGGGAGTCCGAAACCAGCCGAAGGCCGAGCTGCGCGACCCGCGTCGGGAGCTTGAAGGTCTGCATTGGAGAGCACCAGAAGAACAAAAAGAAAATAGGACAGTATTCACTATAAAAATACCAATACTAATACTCTAATACTGAAAATGACATGTATTATTGTTATACAGCAGCACAGACTTCTGTGTGCTCCATGCAGGCGCCTCCTCGGACGCTCGCTTGTAAACGCTGGAGAGGTTTCCCAGGCACATGTTGGCAAACATCATCGTCACCGCCTGCGGCACCTTCAGCAGCACCTCAGTGAGCACCAGCCATCAAGGAGAGATTGGCAAGGAAAAACCATCACAAACATCGCTTGGAAACTCGAGCAGACTCTTGCGGTCGAAGGAACAAACAGAGAAACGAGATTCAACAAGATGGCGGAGAGAGATGGCATCCTGTGGTGGCTGCTTCCTCTGCCGGTGTCGATGCGAAATCTCGACCTCGATAGGATAATGTCGTTGATGCCATCCATATCTTGGCCAACCGCTGTGCTCTGCAGCTCTTCAATCGACATGATGCATAGGGGAAGTTCGGGGGTCGGGGCGACGTAGGTGAAATTCTCCCAGTTCAGTGCGGAGGAGAGATCGTAACCTTGGTTGCTCTGGTTTTCGATCATCAGCAATTACACTTGCCCTTTGTTCCATCAACTCTGCTCTAGTCCAGGCACCATCATTGTAGCAGTTGACTTCTGCGTAGAACTCTCCTCCCCGCATGATGGTCTCGACGTTCCACTCACGCCCAGCGAGCACCAACTGATGAAAGTTGCATAGTGTCAACTAGTCGCATGTCGATAACATCGTGCAGAAAGAGTGAACCGCTGCATGACTCGAACTGCTTCCCTACCATCCATGGGAACTCGTGACAATGGTGCAAGCAAGGCGCAATTTCAGCTGGAGTGAGGTACACCTGCTCGTGCATTCAAGGATGCATATACCCTGGAATGCACTGCACTATTGAGTGCCCATTCTGCAGCTCACTTTGACTGGTGCACACTTGATGGCAAGGGATTTTGGTTTCGGGAGCAGTGGAGGTGGAAGCGCTGAGCTTGAGGCCGATTCGAGTGGAAGAACCTGCTCCTTCTGGAAAGAGGGCTCGCGGGCGCTGCAGATTCGGGCACTGAGGCCGCGGATTCATGCGCCCTTCGCGCTGCGGCGGCGGATTCACTCCCGGCTTTTCGAGCACTGGTGCGAAGCATTACTGCACTGGAGCTGAAAGCCTCGGATTCAGACACCACGGATTCGCGCACTGATCGTGCAGAACGTCTTCGCGAGCCGACACGTGTTTGCCGGGAGATTCGCGCACGGATGCTCTTGAATGGTGGATTCTCACAGGGCTTTAGTGCGCGGTGCCCTCCCGGATATGCCAAACCCAGACGCTACACCATCCGCAAATCAGCAGGAGGAAGCTATGTCTTTATTCCTGGACCCGCCCCTACACCGGAAGTAAGCCAGGGTTTCATGCGCAGAGCGTGGAGATGCAAACATCCCAAAACTCAACGAGCGGCAAGGACAAAATCACGAAAGGGCGAGTGTCTCGTTGTCAACAACCCAAAACGAACGATGCCTGCAATAACTGAGTCAGTTGCTGAGTCCCGAAACCCAAAACCCTATGAGGCGTGAGTGGCTGCGACAAAACTGGTGAGTGGCAAGCCCGACACTCTCATCTCAAGTGAGTGCTGCAGGATGCCCAAAATCCTGGGAGTGGCTCGGTGTCAGAAAACCGAAACCTAACCTGCAGGAAACCTTCGTTGGCAGATCATTCTCCGACGCTTGCCTGGTCTGTTTCCCACTCGGGCCCGTCATGCTTCCGACTCCAGCCCTTCCTGGTTCTTGATCGTTTTTCCGTTTCCGTCATAGCGGCCAGTCATGGCAAGAGACTTCAGCACTGGTGTTTTGCACCCGCCAGGTCTATTGAAATACGCTGAAAAAGCACTCGCTCTTTGCTTCGTTCCCGAGCCCGCGAAAACCCCGAAACCGGCAAGCTACAAACCATCCAGATTTCCGCTCCATGAAGCAATGCCGGCATGTCAATCTTATCCCGAGCACCCTGAAGAGACAGCCATGAACTTGGCACCACATTGCACACAGCATCCCGGCGGCCATCCGAGATAGATCGAGGGTGGTTGACAACTTGATTGATTGAAGATCCACGCTTTCCATGGCCCAATGTCGACATGTGGGTTTGCCTTCTCCTGCGGATGGAAGAAGTGTTTCACCTCCTCCTTTGCGTTGATCATGGCCTCACACCAAAGCTTCAAGGCTATCGCTCCCCGACTAGAACCTTCGAAGTCCACCCGGAATCGGCGGAAAGGAAGAGGTGAAATGCATCCCGCAGCCGAGAGACTGTGTAAGCGTCTCGGTGGCCCTTGCGGCCGCCAGCGGACTCGTAGAGCCCAAAGAAGAACCTAAGAGGAACTGTGGCATTCGGCTCCTGGCCGGAAACACTGAGCTTGTGGGTGACTGTTCTTCATGCCAAGCTACGGTGCGGCCTGAGTCATTTGAAAAATGTAGGTGAACTCCACCTTTGCATATCTGATGATAGGATGCATCATTATCCACATCGGCTGTGGTCTGCCCGTGATCAGGCCTTGGATGCAAGAAGCTCAGAGGCTCGAGACACTACTTCCATGCCGAGCCCCGCACCTCGCCCTGTGGCAGTGAAGGGTATAATGGTGAGCGTACGACTTCCTGTCGAATGAAGCGCTCAGTCCGAGATCTGCCCAAACGAGGGCAAGACTGCTACAGATACCATTCAAAGCACTGCTCAATTCTGGTTTTTTCCAGAGCTAGTGGTGCAAAACAAGCTTTTAATCAACTGGCAACTGTGCTGCACATGCTGCAGACAAGACTAGTGTAAAAAACCTTCCTGTGTCGTCACGTGTCGTCACGTGGAGGCTTTGGCATCTGGACGCTTAGCTGGCGTATCTGGGCCCAGAGCTGCAGCAGCTGCTCTACGCGTTTGCCTGCCTCGAACTTGCAGTGACTCCTTTGTTTTCTGCTCTGCCTTCACAAACATTAACATTTCGGATGCATGCAACTGGAGTTCCGAAAAAGATTCTTCAGCAGGTGCACTTTGCCATACCCCGGGCTCACGATACTCGGCATATGAAGCAAATGTCAAGCTAGACACTTTCGGAATTCCCTCTTTGTGCGCGCTGTGTTCGTAGCAGCACCGGTATTGCTTGACGGCACAGCTGCAACCTTAGGAATTTATCACGCGGACAGCTCTGTTGCCACGCAGACCAGAACTTGTTGAGCAGGTCCAGGAGCTCGCTGGATGACATGTCCACGAGCGACTTAAAAAAGCTTCGGAACTCGCTGGTCAGCACTTTGGAACGGTGTGTCTCGGAATACGGGTATGCTGTCTATGGGCTGGTCCATGCATGCTGCAAGGCGGCTTGGCATGTCCCAGGCATCAAGAAAGCCTGGTCAGCGTGGGCCTCATCTATGTCATGTGTTTTGTAAACTCTGATGTGCTCAAGATAGGCATGACAACGTGGCGGAACCCGCTGGATAGCCATGACCAAGCCCAAACTGGAGACCTTGAAGCTCACGGATGGCAGTGCGTAGACCCATGAGCAAGTCATCCATGGATGGTTACACTTCAAACAGGACCTCGACAGTCTGGTGTCACAGGCTTGACACGACGAGGTCAGTGGCGGTATTCCGAGACGTACCGTTCCAACGTGCTGACCAGCGAGTGCGGGCTGAGACAGAACTTCGTCCGTGAAGCCAGCAGGGCTTGATCGTCCTCTTGTGTCAGAGTCCTTTTAAACACCTGCGTGCGGTTCAAGAACTGCAACAATCCTCATAGGAGTCCTCCGAGATGAGAAGCACCGGCTTGGCGGGGGTCGCCTCTTACTTGACACCTTCCAAAGGAGATACTTGAACTTCTGAAGCGGGTGCCGGCTGAACTGGTCTTGGGCGAGTCTCTTGACAGGAGGTGCTGAAAGCTGCTGTTGTTGGGCGGCTTTGAAGCTTTCTACATAGGCCTCGGGCCGCGCGCGGGCCACTTCCGCATCCATCCGAAGCTCATTCTCCTTCATCGGAAATGCTTTCTCTTTGTCTAGCTCGGCATTGTACTGGTCGCACACCTTTCTTTCTCCAGGCCTGAAACCTGCAGTGCTTCTTCCTGGTGCTAAGCTCACATGCTGGTGCAGGCAGAAAGTGAGGGACGGGGACGAGATCCCGGCTGGCCATGTGGCCCGTGAGAAAGATGATATCTTCGCTCGTCCTCTGCTTCTTCTTCGGCGGAGCTTGCGGTGGCGATTTCGCAGCTGTCATGCGGCCCGTTGCGGCAAGCGTCAGGCGCTTCGAGAGTGGAGCTGCCTGCTCCGCTGTCTTCTCCAGACATGGAGTCTCTTCTGGAAGAGACTCCAGAAAGGTCGAAGCCTGGGCCAAAGATGCATCGCCGTCAGCCCCCCAGCTGGAAACATGGTCCTCTACGTGCTGGGTCGTAAGTATGTGGCCGAATCGAGTCTGCGGAGACACATCCACAGCACTTTCGAAGTGCGGATTATCCCAGCTCATGGTCTGAAGGCTCCGGATGCCAGGAGCTGCTAAAATAGTTGCAAGGGCAAAAATTCCACTTTCTCAATTGCATTCTGTTCAAGCTGCAAACCTAGGAACATGCTGCACGGACACTGCCGTCTTCCCTGTTGGCATATGCACATACGCATGCCCAGCTTGCAGCAAGCAACCTGCCTGACTGCTGAAAGACGCTCGGTGGCATGAAGCAGCTGGGATCAAGAGCTCCACCCAGTGAACAAAGCCTGCTGCCTAGCGAGAGAAGGGCCCTAAGCATGATCCGAAAGCCCAAACGATCATAATCAGTCCAAGCGGCAACCCAGCATTACCTCTACTTGCATCTGCGACATGATGTCCTCATTCGTCAGCTCCTTACAGGGCGCTTCGGGAAAAGAGCCGGAATGTTGGAAAGCACATCGCTTGCCATCATAGCACAGCCGTAGTTCTTCGAAGACAGAAACTGAGGACAGACTGAAGAGACAAGGTTCCAAGCAGAGGCCCTGATAATACAGGGAAGAGTTGTGGCACCAGTAAGGCCCACCGGTCATGTTCCGACACCAGAACGCGATTGAGGGCTCGGGATCGAGGCGCGGATCAACTCCATCATATGGCCTAGGTTGCGCAGGGCAATGCAGACCTCTCCTCAGGCCAGCACAAGCTCACACCAGCATCCGGCTAGGGCTGCAGCATCGCGTCGAGTGCATCGACGTGGAGCATGAGGAAGGGTGCATTTCCAATGACTTCTGTGTACTGCTTTTGATACTCGAAGATGAATATTGCCTCAGCTGGAGATTGGCCGCGCGGGAGTGCGGGAGCGAGCACTGCTACAAGAACTGGCACTTCCGGTCCTCATTCAACTCACATGTGCAAGAGGGCGGCATAACCAAGAATGGGAAGGTGAAGGAAGTAGTAGAGGGCATTCAGCTTCCAGTGCTCGAAGACGACTTTCTTCTGAGCCTTGGATGAAGTGCTTGCTCTCCTGTAGCGCTGTTTCAGGACAGTGTTGACCAAGGCACATACACTTTTGGGAGCAGGTTGCTCAGGGCCATGGCTCAAGTCAGGCTTCTGGGGCGCATGGTACGAGGGCCAGTATGAGGTCTTTGAGAAACCGAAAAGACTGTGTCCGTGCACAGATGGGGGTTCACTGTTTTTTCTTCTAGCCTCGAGTTACTGGTACTTCCTTGGCGTCGGCTTGGCGGCTGCAAAGCAGGATGAAGCCGTCGTTGCGACGCAGCAACGTCATGCAGCGACGGTGTAGAGCCAGAGCAATGTAGTTATGTAGGCCAAAGAATGCGAGTCGAGGTCCTGGCGACAAGCACGGAAGGCCTTTCTCGGTCCAGGAGCCGCTCCGAGGCTGCGGCCTCGCTTCAACGCCGTCGGAGAGATGGGGAACCGGCCGAACCCAAAAGGCGACTTCAGCTGAGATGCCGAGGGCATCTGCTCGTGCAGTGCTATGATGTCATAGTCTTGCGAGTGCCCTTGAAGCTGCTCTGCCACCTGGCGCTCACCAGACCAGACGAGCGAGCCAACCGACGGTTCGACATGGTCGCGTCCGGCCTTCTCAACTGTCGCCTCATTGTTGCAGAAAACAAGGGCCAAACAGCCACCTTTCTGCGCCCGGCAAGACAAGCACATCCGCTTTCCTCAAACTCCAACCTGAAGCCTTTCAGCCCCTTTCCTGCCTTGCAGCTTCAGAAGTCCGAGAGCCTCGCGGAGCGCGTCCGGCCTCAGTCGCAGGCGAATGCTCTGTGCAGACATCGAAACCGGAGCGCCGCTGTCGTTCCATTTTGTTGAATCTTGGTTGTCAACTGCTCTGGGCTCAGTCGGCTCCGGAGACCCTGACTCCCAGGCCAACTTTGGCTTTCATGGACGTTTGCTGTTGGACCCGCAAGGACCTAGCTTCATGACGTAGCAGGGCCACGGCTCCGAAAAAGAAAGGTTGCAGGTCGTGGCTCAAAGCAAAGTCAAGGTCCTTTAGAATGTCTTGGAGCGGCTTCGGCTTCGGAGATGTGGCACAGCACAGCCCACCGGCAGAAGCAGCAAAAGCAACCGGAAGAGATCGGAAAAGAAAAGGAATAACATGCCACGACCTAAGCATGCAGAGTTGGCGTCATGATATTACGTATACCCGAGCCCTCGGGAATGTGCAGCCAAATCACGCAGCACAGACCGTTTTCCATCCTCTGCAACCACCAGGTCACAAATCCCACAACTGCATAGGATGTGAACGGGAGGTGTTGGGCTGAGGAGCATCTCCGAGGCCATGGAAAATACATGAAGATGCAACCTTTGCGGCAACTGTACAGCCGGTTGGGAGGCTCAGCCTTCTTGAAGATGTGTCTCTTTCCCACAGTGCGGCTCAGTACACTTGAAGTGCGCGTACTGCTTGGAGAGTCGCCTTGGGCCAAGAGACGCAAGGACTACACTGGAGGCTTCCTTGCCATGCGGTTTGGGCGACGGACGCAGCCCGGCCACTTCCGGCTCGGCCGGTGTTCACAAAGGCCTTGCCTCCGCACCTCAGAACCGCTACAGCCGAAGCAGTCCACCCACTCCGAAGCATCCGGTGCGGGTGAAGACCGTGATGCTCAGTGGCTTTGCCGCAATTAAATGCAAGTACAACCTCGACGGCTGTAGAGCCGACTTCATCTGTTCCTGCATGCTTTCATGCTTGGGCCGCGACTCGGGACATCGGGCCATCTGACCACCTCAAGCGAAAAAGGGTCAAGACTCAGACACGTTGGCCCGGAGTATGGTGTTTCTTCTGCGAAGCCGAGGGGCTGGGCATCTTGGCCTCCTGCAAGGACTCGAGCGCCCAACGCTGACGCTTCGCCTGCACTGCCGAGCACGCCCACTCGCGAGGGTCCTGCGTGTGGCAACGCCCGGAGGAGCTGCGGCGCAGTGGTGCTCCCAACAGTCCCCGCCTGCCGCGCGATGGCCAGGGCCCCGGGTGAGCCCGCAGCCAGGATGTCCTTGCGCAGCGCCTCCCATCGCATCGTCCCCCACAAGTGCCGGATCAAGCTAGCCCCTGAGCCCCTGAGATCGGGCCTCATTGCTCTTCAGGGCAGCAGAGAGTGCTAGCAAGCGCCTGCGCGCACCGCCGCCGTGAAGTGCAAAGAAGGCCTGCCGTTGGATACCGCATTGCAAGGGTCTGTTGTCTACAACGGCAGCACTTCCCCCACCCTCCCAGCAGTGTTACCTCATGCATCTTCTGTTGCACTTCCAATTCATGGAAGGCCAAGGGCTTTGCCCCGGACGTCCACTGCTGCCAGGCACTTGCCGATGCCCTGTCCAGAGGCTGCAGGGCCTGCAAAGCTGTGCGGAGATCTGGCGCGAGCGGGAGGGCCATCTGCAGAGCCCTACCGTTCTCACCCAGGCCAGGCACGGCAATCCGATATCGGAAGAGGAATTGGCGGCAGGACATGCCCGGTGGGCTGTCGCCATGGGATGCATGGGACCCGTACCTGTGATCACCTACAACAGGGTAGCCCTGATGCGACAGATGCACTCGGATCTGGTGCTTGCGTCCTGTAACAATGGATGCGGCCACGAGAGTGTACACTTCACCTCCGTGTCCACGGAGCCAAGCACAGGGCAGGATGTGAGTCTCTGCAGGTAAGCCATCAGCCGACACGATGCTGCCGGAAAGCGGGATTCCACGGATGCCTTGGCGAAGAATGCTCAGCCCCCATGGTATTTGACCATGGCAAAGCATGATGTACTCACGTTCCAGGGCCAAGGTCTCCTGCAGGGACAAATGTGAGCATAAATTTCTTTGCAAGACCTGGAACTTTCTGTTATCTGCGTTTAGCGTACCACGCCCCCATGCCCACCCATGCCTGATATTGCCCGATGCCCTGTAAGTCCTGCTGCATCCGGAGCGCGTAGTAGGCCTGGTATGTTGTGGCAGCCAGCACGATCCCTTCAGACGGCAGGTCCAAGCGTCCCAGAAAGCCAAATCCGCATGCCGGGTCCCGCAGCACTGGGTGAAGAGAGAGTTCGCGCAGAAACGAGGACAGCTGAGGATGAGACCCTGGCCGTTGGGTTGCATCCCGCCCTCCGTCAACCTCCCACCCAGGCGGCTTGTGAAGAAACAAAATGCCTTTGTCGTTGAGGAGAATTCTGGGCTTTCGCTCTCCATCTCCATCCGGTGACGAAACGGCAACTGCGCTGAGGGTTCCGTCGGACTTCGAAGACGCCAAGTCCCAGCGCCGTCCCACTCCCACAGCCAAGCTGGAAGCCATTGCCAGCAAAGGCTCTGCAGGAACCTTTGCGAAGGAGCAAGCCCATGCCAGCTGAAGCAAAGGATTCAAGAGCTCCCTGTGCACATCTGCCTTGGCCCAATCCAAGCTGCCGAGTTGCTCCAAATGAAACCGGACTTCGTTGTTTGCAGCGGGCATGACGGTGTCTTCCAAGAAGCTCACACTGAAAGTGAGGGTTGTCCACGACCAGGCGACCGAAGCCAAAGCTCGCAGATTCATACCTTTGCAGCCTCTGCTCATTTCAGGGAACTGTTCCGACCACCCAGGACACGCGAAACGAGCAGCAGCCATGGACCAGGACACAGCTGCGAGTTCGGTCGCCGAGAACTTCGGCTGAACGAGGACAGCATCGCCGAGGTCGGTCCACAGCCCTGGTGCCATCTGCTGTGAGTACACGACTGTTGCAAAAGCCCAGCACGTGTGGGCAAGCTCCTGCGAGGAAAAGCTCCGTGTGCGGAGGGCAGTCGATGTTGCTGCTGCAAATGTGGTCCTCGGTCAGAGTGAGGGGAGAAGGGTGAACGAGGGGAGTGAGAGGAGTGAGAAGCCATTTCAGCTAGATTCCCGGGGCTATGTGGGGAGGCTTTGTGCATCTCAGCCACCAGACTGGCCCCACCTCTGCGAGGGTCGCGAAGGCCCAAGCAGATGCAGCCAGGGACTTCGGGTGAAGCTGACGCAGTGCATGCTCCGACACCACAGTGAGTACGGAGAGCCTGTCCTTGCGGCTCTCGAAAGCCGCCTGGGCCACCGGCGCTGCCACGGCCAGTGCCCAGAGCACTGCTGCCGCCTCCTCGGCTCGCAGCTCAGGAGCGCGTGCTTGTGCCACCCGCGCCGCCGTTCGCTGCATGGCCCAACCTGCAGAAAGCCGCGCCGTCGCCCAGATCACATTGGCAGCCGCTTGCGTAGAGCAGGTGGAAAGCTTGGAGAGAATGGGCGCATCAGCCTCAGCCAGCAGCTGGAGCAGAGGCTCTTGGTCCTGCCGTAGCGATGCACAGGCCCAGAGTGTATTGGACACTCCCTGGGCTGACATCTGAGACATGGCGGCCAGGGCATGACGAACCACGACGCTCACATGGCTCTGCACTTTCAGCGAAGCGAAGGACCACATCGTCATTGAGAGACCCTGTGCATCCATGTCTGAGGCCCTGCTCGCCACAAGGCTCAGCAAGTCCTCCCTTGCACCCAAGTCTGAGCCCAGGTCCTGCAGTTTTCCCAGCGACCAAGCCACCAAGGACAGCTGTCGAGGAGTCATTGCTGCCAGAATATCCGGGTCCCTCAGCTCCTTTAGCTCGCACGGCTTGGAGCCAGTGCTTGTGTCTTCGTCTCGCTTTGCACGCTGGTGCAGCCTCGTCACCGCCAGGGTCGCCCTGCTAGCTTCCCTGTTCGACCGGAGTGATGCTTCCACTGGCCGCCGTAGCCTGGCTGGCATCAGGAATCTGTCTTAGCCACTCGATCACTGGCATCTCACCGGCCCGGGTCAGCGTTCTACCTGAGCTCGCCCAACTGCAGATGACGTCGGCCTCCATCGTCATCCCACCAAGCGAAGGCGCTGCGAAACGTCTCCATGTGGCATTCGCGCCATGCCGGCAATTCCGTTGCTCTTGCCGGGACTCCTCAGGATCTGAGACCTACTTTGATTGAGCACTGTCACGAAGCACTCCTCTAACTCGTTTTGTTTTCGGAGCTACGGGGCGTCAGCACTGGCGAAACAATAGATGGATTGCGACTGGTGAGGTCAAGGACATCAAAGTTCTGTCTTGCCGTACGAAATCCACCCGAAAAAGGTGCGCACAGAGTCGCTCAATGAACGGCTGAAGCGTGCCACCCCCTTTCAATATCTTGGATGTGGAGTCGTGTTCAGTCCACGGCTCCTGGCCACGTTTGGATCGACAAGGGGCCACAGCTGATGGGGACCTTTTCTAAATCCTGACGCGCAAGCTGAGCTGGCCTTGGCAAGGGTCAGGGCAATGTCTTCGGCACCTTCCTCTTGGAGGAGGCCGGTCAACAGCTGAGCAGCCTGGCACGGCAGTCATCTCGCAGCATCTCCTAGCCGCCCTAGCCCTAGCCCTGGCATCCTCTCTGAAAACTTCCGGCCTTTTCGATGAATGCGGGGTCTTCCAATCCTGCACGAGATCCAGGAGCCGAGCTTCCGATCACTGGTCAAAAGGAGCTTACAAGGCTTGCGATGGCTTGCGCTGCGGACGTCCTGGTCCCGGACCGTTCTCTTCACTGCCCGGCTTGGCTTCCGGAGTGCGCAGCTTCCGCAGGCGCCGGAGCAGGTCTGGGCCGGGCAATGCCGCGTCCTCCGCAGCGCACAGTCGGCCCCAAGCCCGCGCCGAATCAAAGCAGCGCTCCTCGGGTTTGGGCCGCGGCCCTGGCCCGAACCTGGCTCTGGCGGAGCAGGTGGAAGAGTTCGAGCTTTTTTCTGAAGGGCCGGCGTCTGCCGGTGCCTTCGCCTCACTTCGCTGGCGTCCGCAGGGCGAAGGATGGCCCAAGGAAGCGGGACGCCGGTGCCAGGCCCGGACAGCAGTCCTGTCAGAACATGGGCTACCAACGAGCAACCTGAGAATTAGTGACATTGGTGCTCTCCTTCATGGACGATCTTATTGCCGATGCGCTCGGCCTTCCACCTGATCTGTCGCAGGAGGTCCTGTCAAGCGCTCTCTCTGGAACCTTGGTAAGGTTGGTATGTCGCACGAGAAGCTCTCCGTCATGAAGCTGCTAACCAAAATGCCTACTGCGGGGAACAGAATCACATAGTGTCAGAAAGGAGCATCCTAGACACATTCTGATCGAGCTCCTCCTGCTTCTGTGCCCCATCGCGCTCACGTTTCGAGCGCCTGGGCGGCTCCTGAGAGTGACATCACAGAGGGGAAGCAGAGACCTTCACTCCGCCGCTCCTCTGCTTGGACAGAATCCACGGACGGTGCTGGCAATGTCGAGAGCGCTGGCTGCTCGGGCACCTCGCCACAGCCACGGAAAACCGCAGGTGTCTGCTGAAGGCTGACGGTTGCACGAGCCTCGTTGGCGGCAGCCTGATGCTCATGCTGGTCCAGCTCTAGTGCCGGGAGTGTCTGACCTCGGCCACTCAGACACAAAGAAAGACAACAGAACGACTCCACAGCTGCAGTGGGCCCGAATTGGCAATCCTGTCTTTAGCGCCTCGCCTGCTCCCAGCACTTTAGCAAACATCCCATTGCCCAATCTCGGACATGGGAGGCGCCAGGTCGAGAAAGCAGGCTGATGCTGCAAACAGCTTGCGACTGACTCTGGAAGGCAGCGATCTGCGCACAGGTGGTGTGAAAGTGATACGATGCATGTTGCAAAGTTCCCTGCCTTGGTCCTCAAACACAGGTAGTAGTGCACACTGCATGTAACAGACAAATCCTGTAATATGCCTTCTGAGGTCCGGAGACGACTCGAGCCGAGCAAAAGGCCGCATCGGAGGAAACTCAGACGAACCCCAATTGCACGCACTTCAAAGCCGACTTCATCGGCGATCCTGCGATCCCGGCTTGGCAAGCGGGTGAAGAACCTGCACCGACAAGATCTCTCACAAGGCCAACCTGCTTGGCTTCTTGCCTTGAAGTGCTGCCTCACGAACCTGGATTCCAGGCAGTGACCTGGACTCTCGACAGGAATTCCAAAAGCAGAGTGTTAGCTCGCTAGTGATGGCTCTTTCGGGTTGCCAGCTTTCGGCATTCTGCAAGCACTCGAAGGCCGCATGTATGATGACGGTGTCGGCTCGCAGATGCCTGCTACCCGAGTGATAACATGGCTGCGCAGCGTGCAATACAGCCTTGCAGCAGCACATAACCTGCTTGAAGAATCTTGAAGACAACCAGCGGCTCGCACACATTCTGTAGGCTAGGCAGCACACAGATCAACATGCAGTGATACGCATTGATGCGAAATGGCTCGTTCAATCACTAGCTTGTTGCAACATGACGCTGTCGTGGGTTTGGTCGACAGCCTCGAGGCCATTTGGTCAGCACGCGGCGGCCAGGTCACGGAAAAGAACGCGAGCCTAGGTCAGGATTGATATTCAGATATGCTGTTGAGCTACCTCTGCAGATGCCACAGGTAAGGCCAGCGGATTCACAGCACTGTGTGCTGGGTCGCGTGCTGTCTGCGCTTAGGCAGCAACTCCAGGATCGTTCGTGCCTGCCGAAATGTCTGCTTGCAGAAGCACGCCAGCACTCTTTTGTCACAGCCTGTGCACCGTCGTCGTCCCCGTCCTGATCGACTGAAGATTGGCTTACTAGCCTCGGGAGCTCCAGCAACAAGCAGGACCGGTCCTTCACAATGGCGTCCGCATCGTCAAACACAATCAACACATCCTCTCAATGGGACAGCAGGTTCACTAGCCGAGCAGCCGAGCTCGCGCCCTTCCAGCTCAGAGCATTTTCACTCCGTAGCATGGGGCTTGTGGCGCCGAAAATTAGATTGGTCCGTGGCTTCAGCCGAGCTAAGATTCCTTCTCGAAAAAATAGGGCGTGGCTTCTGCATCGTATCCTCCCCGCTTGATGATCTCGACCCAGTAACCATCGGGATCACGGGCAAAGGCCAGGCCTTCAATGTCATGTAAGAATATAGTCTGTGTTATATTTTCAATATTGCATAACTATGTACTAGATGATATAGTACATAGTTATGTTACATAGAAACTATAACATAGAGTATCTAATGTCTACATTCTACATAACAAAAAAGGGCTCTCTTTTACAGCGCCCTCTGTGCTCCCCGGGTCAGGCCCTGGCCTTTCATGGATCCACCGTCTGGGGCCTTCTGCATCGCGTAGCCCGCGGCCTCCAGCCCCTTGCAGGTCTCATAGACCTGCAAAGAGGGAAGTAAGCAGAAGCACGAGGCTCACATCAAAAAAAATAAAGACCACAGAACTAGGACCGTCTAGGAGGAAGCCGAAAGTTCTGCTAATTGCCCGGGCCGCGTCGTCGACCAAGAATCCGACATGTCCGAATCCCTTTCTGTCCGCTTCATTCCCACTCAGATACGAGAATTCGGCCTCATCTTCTGTGCCGTGATTGTGCGTCAATTCCAGCACTGGCCTGCCTTCCGGGAACTCATTGGCGCCCTCAGGCACGGTTCCCAGATAGTACAAAGAAAAGTCATCGTAGTCCTGATGCGCCAGCAGCGTCATCCCCATGTGCTTGGTGTAGAAGTCCAAGGATTTCTTGGGGTCCTGCACCGCCGGAGACGTTTATGTGCGTGCATCTGCTCGGAGCATCCGATGCCAGAATCTGCTAGAAGCTAGAGTGGTAGGGATGAGGCTTCGTCTCATGATCCCGTCCTTGACACGCAGCATTGTCTGGGCGAGGGTGTGGCGTCCGGGAGCTCCACCCCTCAGCAGCTCGACCCAGTAGCCATCTGGATCCAATGCAAAGGCCAATCCCTTCATTCTCCCTTCGTCGGGCTTCTTCCTTGGAGGTCCGAGGTCACTGACAGTTCCACCACCTGTGAAAGCATTCCAACATTCAAAGATGTAACGTTATTGCACTCCGAGGGCTGGAACTTCACTCCCGTCTTCTCTAGGGCCGCACTCGTCTCGTAGACATCGTTCACAGAGAAGGCCACGTGGCCGAAGCCATCCCGCCTCTGCCATTTTTAGAAGCACCCTGCTCTCTTCACCTGACACGCAATCTGCCTGGCCTGTCCCCCTCCCTGGGCTGGTTGCCAGGATGGTAGATGGGGCCCTCCTCCGCTTCTGTGCCATAGTTGTGCGTAAGCTCCTCAGGCCCAAAGTGTGCCCTTTCCTGCACTCTAAGCTCATGTGCAGCGCAGTAGTGCGGCGAGGCTCCAAGGTGGTACCCGGATATGTCCAGAGGTACTGGTGCGCCTCTACAGAGCCCGGCTCTGGCGTCTTCTCACCCTCCGGCACAGAGGCTAAGAAGTAGAGGGAGAAGCCCATACTTTCGAAATCGAGCTTGTCCAGAAGCCTGAAAGAAGCCAAAACCGTTTGTGGGTGTTTGCGGCAACATCAGGAACCAGCATGCATCAACAGCCTACTTGCCCTCCTTCGATTGACTTGAGGCAAGAAGCCGCATTCCCATTTTGTTTTTGTAGAAGTCGAGTGACTTCTCCGGATCCTTACATGAACACATGAGCACAACTCTATCACTAGATCTCACGCTGCACGGCAAACATGCACCCCCATCCGACCGGAAGGCGGCCATGGGTCTTTGATGCGAAGCATGCTCTGCTGCCAAGATGGCTTAGCAGAGCACGCTGTCCGAACCTTGCGTGCAACAACTCCAGCCACGGCGCATCCGACCTGGTGCCGTCATTGTTGAAGCTGCTTTAGCATTCGGGAGTCAGAAACATGCGGGCACCAGCCGAGCGACAACTGTGCTCCATGTCGGGGAAGATGAACCCGAAAGGCCCGAAGCTCGAACCGGTGGCGCTCTTTTCGTGGGCAGCGCTGCCCACGTCAAGCGGGGTGCGGCAAAGGCAGTGGCAAGCATCCTAGCTACAACACTCACTAGACAACTATCGCTGCGAGGAAACCCGATGACCCGAGTCAAGACAAAGGCATCAAAGTGTGGGAACTCTCCAGGCCATACAAGACATATACCGTGGAAGGAGGCCATAAGTCCAAAGCGATACGGACCGCGTCACAAAGGCACTTGCTAGGCGGCCAAACGGCTGCGGAACACAAGCAAGTCACATCTGGAACGAACAAGAAGGCGTGCCAAGAGCTTCCGTGCAGTCCTGGTTCAAAACCTCCAGGTCCTCATCTTTGCCGAGCACCCACGACTGGTACTCAAGCTGCCAGGGTGTAAGTACCAGCACGCCCGCCTGAACCGACCAACAGACACGGAAGACATGGCGGAGTTTGGGTTGAGCTGTGGCGCTCTCAACCAGCGCTGACTAGATCAGCCAAGGCACTCTTGATGCCTCTTTTTGCTGTGTTTTGTCCTCCACGCCTTGTGAGCTAGGATCCTCCATGCCTGCGCAAGGGGTTGCACGAGTCCCACACCGCTATCCGAAGCTCTTGCGCCTCCAGCCACGAGAACACGTCCGACGGCAGCAAAAGGAGCAATGAAGGAACGTACCTCCAAAAAGCAGCTGACGGCTGACGCCCCAAAGCCCGGGCCGGATGCTCGCCGTCCTTGCCTGGGCAGCCACTTCTTTGCTGGGCACAAGCACCACCCCATCGGGTGGCCGCTGGCGCCACTCATCCCATGGCAGCTCGTCTAGGCAATGGAAGAGCTCGTGGGTCGCCCCTCGCAAGCACCGAGAATGCAGGTGCGGAGCAGACGAGCATTGCAGACCCTTCCGCAGCCTCGCAACGCTGCAGCACGGATCAACAGCGGCACCGCATAGGCCAGGGTCTTGCCACAGCCATGCTCCGCTGTCACTACGACATCTCGATTCGTCCTTCACTGCCCATAGAGGAAGAACAAAGTCCGCTCATGAAAGGCTCTCTGCGGGTGTCCTTAGCAAAGGCCATGTCGTTGCCTGCAAGGGTGTGGGCGCGGCCTGCTGCCGCCGGAGGATGTTCTCCATCCAGCTCGGCAAGCAGGATTCCAAGAAAGACCAGGTCGGTCTCGGGAGTTGATTGCCCCCATCCTGTGCTAGGCGCTCTAACAGAGAGTGCTACCCTCAGAAGGCTCCGTGCTCCTCCAAAACTACCACACCACGGCGAAGCCGCCACCTCTCCTGCAGTCATTTATTGCAGCCTTTCCCAAGCCGGATCTGCAATCAATTCAAATCCTGCTCGTCCGCACCATGGTCGAACTGCAATGCTGGATGCTCCACATAGCCCTCGAAGTGAACGGTGCTGTTCCTGTCAAGCTCAGACTGATATCTAAACCACAGGCCCAGCTTCAGCTTGCATCCAAGATGCCGCGACTCTCCGGACCGCACGGGGCCCAAGCGCGAGGCCAAATGAAGTCCCTCCTGGGGCTCCGCTTCCGGTTCCGAGGCCAGGCACGGAGAATGACCTCAGTAGCTGTTCGAAGCTTGCGAGAGCTGCTGAGGCGCGTGACCGTAGCAAAGTGGTGCGCCTCCATTGCCGTCCAAGGCTTGCATGAATGCTTCAACGGAAAGCTGTCGGATGCAAGGTGTAACTGGATCTATTCGGCGTGTCACTAAGCGAGACTTCTTCAATAGCTGGCCCCAAGCACAACATCAGCTTCAGCCAGAGAAGTAGAGCAACATCACGCACAAGAGCGATGCACGGAACATGCACCGAACAATGCCTCAGACGCAGGATGGTTGTCACACATGAGCACGACCAGATATCTTCAGGCAGACGCCATCGAGTCTGAGCGGTCAGGGCGTGCAAAAGTGAATTCCTTCGGAAAACTTGCTAAGGGCAGAGGCTGGGCTTCAGAACCTTCCGGCGTCCGTGTGGCTTCTGGAAGCCGGATGAAGGGAGCCAAAGCGCTTATCGTCGGAACGGCCATTCCAGAGGAAGGCCAGGCACCGGAAGCAAGACTGAATCGCTTTCAGCTACATCACTGTCGTGTAGAGTCTCTCGAATCTCTTCTCCTGGTCCCAGCGGAAGTGCTGACTCCTGCCGCAACCTTCTTGAGGGGCACGCATGAGATAGTCATGTAGCAGAAAGCATGGGCCGAAATACATCCATCCCACATTTGTTCTCAGCTTCGACACAGCATGAAACGACACACCAACAGCTGCCATAGGAGGTCTCTTCGCGGTAACTTGTAAAATACTTGTATTGAGTTTCTGAACAACCAAGCTATCACAGGCCGAAAAAACGAATTCACTGTCACCCACTGCAGGCCAACCTACAGGAATCGATTTAAAAGTTGCACTGCCAGACTCGGCCGCTAAAGCCTTGTGCCAAGTACGAGAGACCTTCGTCGAAACAGAAGGTTCCGCGGCCGAGTCCAACCGAAAATGGGTATCTGGTCTGCAGAGGACTCAAATGCCCTGCTGAGTGGCTGAGAAAAGTGGTGCCACAAAGAGTAGGTGGGAATCCTGGAACCATCCAGCATTTGCAGTCTGCTTCCAGGGGAACGGCATAATGGACGGAGCTCTCTCGCGTCGCATTCATCTCCCTACAAAAGGGCTCCGAAAGTCGGTCTGTGCATCGTGGCTTCTTGAAGTGAGGCCCCTGCCTTCTATTTAATAAAGATACAAACATAAAATCATACATGTATATGATTTTGTATACACCCATACATACATGTTGTATATATGTAACTATGTACACCTGGAAGATGCTGCATTGATGGCGCACAGTGCCTTCTTTCAAGAAGCGTCGACTGGTGGCCCGATGAGCACCAGGTCAGGGTTTCAGCACTCTTGCATCGCACAAGCGGCTGTGCTGAAGAAACCTATAGAAGTCGCGCTCAAAGCTTGGAATTCTCACGAAGAATTTGTACTGTAAGGGACCACTGGGTTTTGGTGATTCTTTACTCTTTCAGCGCTTTTTCATCTCTTTCACCACAAAACTGCCGTAGTTGCTCGCAGTCAGACCTGGGCATGCGACATGTGCACTCTGACGTCTTTCTATTCAAGCCTTTTCCCGCGTGAGAACTACCAACAAGAACCGAATACACAAGACACTCCTGCTAAAGCTTTCCAGACACACAACAAGCCCACATGTTGTCCAAGGCTTCTGGAAGACCGCAGACGAAGAACTTACGTACGTCATCCCATCGGCCCCCTGTGAATGCAGATGTCTGCTTAAACTGGGGCAGCCGAGTTTATCAGGAGGCATTGGGAACATTCTGGCCAAGTTGCTGGCAAGCTCCTGCACTCAAGCGGCAAGCAGCAGACAGAACAGCTTGCGTGTGGACAGCGTTTCTTCTTTAGTGTATACTCCTCTGCGTTGCCAGCCATGGCATTCTTGAGCCGCTCTCTCTCTTCCGGGGAGCTGTGCAAGAGTGCACACTCCACAACATGGCTGGCCACCTCCATGCAAAGCAATGCAGCCTCCTACTACCAATCCAGTCTGAGAGCTTGTCACATCTGAGCAGGGCACCTTGTGCCTTGCCAAACGACCCATTTCTGGCCGCATCGCCTGATTCGGGGTGCAGAGCCCTTCGGTCAGCTGCGGACGGTCCGTGGCGCTGGTGAAGCTCTGAAGCTTGCCTCACAAAGGCGAGTCCTCTGTTCTGCGTTGCCATGCGCCAGGCTGTGCTGGACGACGTAGTTTCCTCGCGACCCACACGTATGTTCCCACGAATACGTCCGCCCACCAAGGCTTTCGACGTTCATACGGACGTTTTTCATACATTGGCACACACACACACACGTAATGTCAACAGAGTCATAATGTGCCAGGAGTCCATAAGGATGTCGACAGAGCCTCAGAAAAACGGAGTATTCACATGCCTGCACGTGGGAACAAACGGCCCTGGACTGCACATCCACCGGCCGGGTCACTCCAGCACATCGGATAGAACCTGAAAGCATCAAATCCATCAAACTGACTAGCTTTGCCAGAGTCGCAAGCGTAAGCCCTCAATCCTCCAGCCTAGAGCAACATCCTCTAGCAGCTCTAGCGGATGTGGCATTGCAGCCCGAAGAGATCCGAAGGGCCTCCTTCGCGATTGGCTCCAGCTGCTCGGGCCAACCATGCTCCAGCAGGCGCTCCAGCACCTGGACTTCCAGAACTCACTGGGCATCTGAATCTTCCAACGTTTCGGCCACCTTGATGCAAACTAACGGCCGACAACAAATCATCGCTGAGCATTGCCGTTCGGAGTGCTCAATACGATGTAGCTGAAATAGGCGAATTGCACATTGTTGTGTACAGCGTTCTAACGCGTTTTCCTGACGTTTTCTATGTCGCACATTATGCCTTCTGGTGAATATGATGCATCAAGTTGCCATGCTGGCAGAACACAAGCACGCCACAAGTGTCGATAATTTCTTAACATGCTTTGTGCTCCTTTGTTTACTTTTTCGCGTCGAAGTGCACAGACTGAAGATCAGTCTACCGTGGCTCCCGTGAACGGCGCTCATGGGGGGAACGGAACCCCGGAATCGCGGCGAGGCCAAGAGAGGCAGGACAGGTTCGCAGGGGCTCGACGCGGCGTAGAAGACAGTCTCAGATGATGCAGATACGCCCACGGACTTCTTTACACTCGGGCTGGTTCGACTGTTACGTACATAGGATTCGGAAGCTTGGGATCTGCATTTTGGGGGCTGCTAGAAAGCTGAAGGATTCGCTTGGGCCTCCGATCACTGAGGTCTCCACGCGGCAGCCGAAAGGATGCCGAGCAGCATCCCCGACACGACCTGCAGGCTTTCGGGGGACACCGCTTAGCAGCGAAGTCAGGAGTCAAGAGTTGTCAAGCGCATTCCTCGGCATCGGAATTTCAGGAAATTGCGAAATCCAGCTCTGTGATCTCAGGGCCTCGTAGCTCGAACACGATGAAGTCTAGCTTCTGCGGAGGCATGTGTGCGATCGCCTGCACTGCAACAGGTGACAGATAGGCAGCTTGCAGCTTGCAGCTTGAGCCTGATATCAGGCACCGAGCCTTCTGAAGAACATGGTTGGCATGTGGTGACTTCAACGCCTGCCTTGGTCGAAACGAGTCAAGAAGCAAGTAGAAGTCAGACGAGGCGAAGCGTCTTCTAAACCGGGTCCTATGCTAGCAACATCTATTTAACTTGCACTTCATAAGCAGTCCTGAAGTCAAGGACAAGGGGCCACACCTTGCCCTTCAAGACGTCCAGCAGGTTCTGCTTCTCTGACACCTCTGAGATCTCGAAGGCAGCCTGTACCACTCGGGTACCGTGCTTCGTGATAGCCATGCTCCACCTTAGCACGCAGTCGAACTTCGTTACAGGGTCTGAACCGAACCAACGGAACAAAGTGGGTTAGCTTCCAAGCCACGCATCTTGCACGATGCGCTCCATCAGCCTCGTGAGATCAAAGCTGCTACAGCTGCGAGCCGATTTTGGCCCAGATTGACGAAACCGGGGCCAGACTACCCCAATGCCCAGCCTCTTGCGGGAGGCCGCATCTAGCCCTGGTGCCCGTAGCTGACGCGCAACGGCCTCCGATTCTTTGCCATTCCACCTGGGCATGCACTGGTCGTAGAAGAAAACCGAATGGTGCAGTGCCATGCAGTGCCTGGACGAGGCGGCGCGCTCCGCCCGATGGCTAGGAGTCTGGGTAGAAACGGAGGACCCCATTTCCATGGAAATCTCGGAAGGCGTCGAGGACCTGAGCGCCAAGATCAAAGCCTGCAAAGCCATTCGCAGGAATCAGAGACAACTTTCTGAGGGGACGACACCGAGGGTGCACGATTACCCATGCTAAAGTTGCGCAGCTGCTCCATGTCCTAGGCATTAATGTTTCCACAACACACAAGCCTACCATCGTCTGCACAGTTTGCATGTGCAGAGCAAATGTGTGCAAAGCCGAGATGCTACTTGCGGCGCGGGTTCGTCGCCTGCAGAGGCCACGACACCAGCTGTTGTCAAAAGAACCGCAAACTACACTTCACGTGTGTCAAAGTGAGCCGGTTGGAGGTTGCAGACACTTCTCTGCAGTTGAGTGGCCCTGCCCGACTCCGACTGGAGCATTCTCTGGCCTCGAGGAGTGCACCAACCACATGGAGAGTGTGCCCTCTGTGAGCAATATCCGCTGTTATTGCTGTCCGTAGCATCGGTAGACTTCGTTTGTCGAAGAGGGATCATGCGAATCAGACACAGCTAGCTGTAGAAGGTCAGATTTCAGACCCTTGTTGGACTCTTGCGCAAATGGCAGTCAACGACTTGCTGCTTGGTCGCACAACAGGCACTGCAACCAGCACCATTTGCTGCATCTGAGGCATAGGGGCAAATGCCTGCAGCCTCAGTCGAATTTTCGCTCATGTTGAGGGAGAACTCTGCAAAATCGACAAAGCCTCTACGATACTCGTGACATGATTCTGGGCTGTCTGCTGCGGCTGCTGTGACATAGCTTGCTGCATCTGCATCTGCATCTGGTGGTTGAACTGATGAGGATTTACGGCATGTTGCCTTGCAGCACAGGACGGTAAAAGGCGTCCGATGACAGTTGAGTTCACTCTAGGAAACCCGCTAGCCTAGACAAGTCAGCCTGAGCTTCAGACTGGATCTGATTCGACCAGTAAGGGACCTGCTGCTGGTGAAACTGCTGCGCGTCGTAGAACTGCATCTGCGGTTGCTGAGAGTTCTGCTGCGGAAACCGCTGCTGCGGCTGCTGCTGGTGGTTGAAGAAAACCATTCCTTGTCGGTCTGGCTGCTGCTGCTGCTGCTGTTGCTGCTGCTGCTGCTGCTGCTGCATCTCATGCTGCATCACTTGCTGCATAAACTGCATTCGCTGCTGATGTCCTGAGATCATCAAATGCTCGAGAGAGTCTCAGAAATCTCAAACTAGACACTCTCCGTTCGCAGGATTCGCCAGGTCTCCAATCTGCTCGGACCTGTCGTCCTCGTCTTCGCTCGCGGTCTGCCAGCCCGCGAGCTCCGCTTCAGACCTCGCTGCTGTGCGCCGATGTGCTGAGCGGTATTTCAGGCTTTTGAAAGTTTCCGTAAAAACTCTTCACCTCACGATTCGCTGGCTCCAAACCCTTTGAGCGTTTGCCGCTACGAGCTCGAACCGAGGCACTGAAGCTGCTCGACTTCTACGACGCTCGTTGTACTTGCTGCCGTCGTTTGCCTCCCAAGGGCTCGGTGGGGGAGTCCTCTTGACTCTTGAGCCGGAAGCATCTACTCTGAGCACCTAGATGGGCCACGACGGCCGTGCCGCTGTCGCCGTGGCTCACGGTTCTGCTGGCGGATGTTGTGGCCCACCGCTCCAGCACCTGCTAAGAACCCAACGAACTCCGATGGTCAGAAGAACGCACCCTCTTTCCGTTGCCGTCGTGCCTGCCACAATGCAAGCCCAAAGGCTGCTTGTGGCTTGGCCGGTGGCATGCATCGCAGGGGCCTTTGGAGAGTCGACATAGGTGTTAATCGCCTCAAGAATTTGCATCTCCAAGGGCCCAGCCAGCTGCCCCTGCACCACACTGGACGTGGGCGTAGCCGCGCCCCACGGCATCGGCAAGCCCACGGCCTGAGCACGACGTAAGCACAAATCACCTTACTTCTCACCACAGATTAAAAGCTGTGGTGAGAAGTCTCAGCGCAGCACTGTCAGGCCATGCGAGACGGATCGAGGCTTCTGTCGCTTTTCCACTGACTGCACCGCTGCTGGGGGCTTATCCTGCAGCCGAACGGTGAGACTGTTTTTTCTTGTGCTTTCGACTCGACAAATCAATTTCCCCAAGCTTCCGCGCCTGAGACGATGAAGGTGACGCTACTGCGGGCCCCAGCAGTGCCAGCAAAAGTGTGGACAAGCGACGTGAAGGAGATGGCATCTTCGATGCACACACCATATCCTCAGCTTCACAAACGATAAGCATGCATTTCTGGGTCATAACCAGTCACCAAACACAAATCAGGGGCCAGCCTGTTCTGGAGAAAGTCACGCCCAGTGGAAATGGAGAAAAAGGCCTTAGATCCAAGCTCAGAAAAGATCGAAAATGCTTGCTAGCCATGAGCTTGACAGCAGTTTGACAGCAGCTTTGTGCTGCCATGGGTCGTCTTGAATGCATGTACAGAAGCTCGCCAAAGATTGAGCCATAAGGTTGTCCACACAGCATTTGCAGTCAAGCATTCGAGCGTCTGGAAGAACGGACTTGCGCAGAGACAGAGAGGTTGTTGTGCATGCATACATGCGTGCGCATACATACACGTACACATACACGTACATATACATGTACATATACACATACACATACATATACAGATACATATACGTATGCATGTACATGTACATATATAGAACGAAGACATGATGGTCCGTGCGTGTGTGTGTGTGCGTGTGTGTGTGTGTGTGTGTGCGTGCGAGGGTATGTGCGCGTGTCTGGTGTTTGCCCACACTTTGGTATGCCAGTGCTCGTATATGTAGATCTATATGTAAATGTCACTGTCTATGTCCATGTCCATGTCCAAATCCATGTGTATGTATGTGTATATACAACACACTCTACACTGACATGCAAACAGAAACATGCATGCATAGCAATGCATATGCCCATATCATGACGTATACACAAACACATACATACGCACATACCTATCTGTGCACACAGATCTGTATGTGTATGTATGTATGTATGTATGTATGTATGTATGTATGTATGTACATATATATATATATATGTCTGCGTGTGTACACACGCTCCTATGACTGTGCCCGATTGCGGTTGCAGCATGACTATTCGCAGCACGCCACGAAAGCAGAATGCTCCAGCTTGATATGGCACCCGTATCATACTGTAGGAGTTAAATCAGATGGTTTAAATATTTCTTTAATTTGCACAGAACAGCTTCGAAATGACGAGACAAAGCCCGCAACATTTACCAGAACAGTATCACGGTGCGTACGGCATGCATATACAGTGCCTACCTGCACCTGATTTCGGGACAATACAGTACCTTCCATTCCAGGGATGTGGACACTCTCTGCAGGCAGCCCATTGTTTTCACGCGACGGTTAAACCATGCCACCCCACATTCGCTGCTCCTGCTGCAATGCAAAAACTTGTGCGGGTGACCGGAGTCGCCGGTCACTTCATATACCACGGCACCCCGCAAGTGGTTGCAGTAGGAGCGTTTCGTAAACAGAGGTTGAAGTGAGTAAACGATGCAGCGAAGCACAATCCAGATAGCGCTGAAATGAAGCAAGAACTTCAATGACACAGCTGCCAAAATGCCGGATCCGATGACAGGAACAATGGCGACTCGGCTCCTCTGCATACGCTGCGATGGCTTCCTCCGCCTCCCCGAGTCTTGAAGGCAACGGTTTGTAGCAGATTACATCAGCTCTGCAAGCCTCCTTTTCCGAGGTCTCCCCAAGGCGCTTCACGAAAATGCCCGGGCCACGCAGCGATTGGGGCAGCAGGGCCTGAACAGCACCAGAGCTCCAGGCGAGAAAACGAGAAGCGATCTGTGGCCGCTGCGGATTGCGATTCGGACGGCTCCTTGAAGCCACGGCTGGCAAACCAAGCATTCCGCTCTGGGTCCTGGACAATGACACTGCTTTCTGCATCCAGCAAAAGCTGACGAGTAGTCGGAGGCGACGCCGAATTTACCGCAGCCGCTGAAAAAAGGAGCTAGACGAAACAAACATGCGAGAGACACTGCTGCGCAAGCTGGACTTGTGCAATATACACCGTGTCGGAAGCGCGGCACGATGCATCTTCGCAGCAAGTGAGGCCCGCAGTATTCCACACGTTCTTATAACAGCTGCCCGCAAGAGGTGCAGCTGCTAAAATGCTCATGTGGCAGCGAGCATACCGGCAATAACAGCTAGACGAAACCAAACGTACCGGA